AACAAAAATAATTCCATGGTTTATTTAGACTGTTACCTGGAAGTATGGGCATTCGACTCCAAAATTGAAGCATTCGTATGTGTATTAATCAACGAAGATACATTTGTAACCTGTGAGTTACAATACGTTATACAGGGTTAACTATTTACTTTATCCGATCTTCAAGAGAATCATTATGAATTTGTGAAAACATTAGGTTTAGTTTAGCATCAACAACACAAAAACGTTTAGGAAATTAAATTCGATCTTGATGACGTCTTTGCGGGGAATTGTGTCATGAATTAAATATTCATCAGTTTAGGGTGAAATGCAATGGTGCCGCGTAATAAGTTATTTTCGTTTGCACATACTCGGGCTAACAGGCTGGCGAGTGTAGAATAACGCGTTTCTCAGCGTTGCTTTAAAAACGGAAGCGAATACCACCGTCTCTTTAATGATAAATTTGAGGGCAATATCTCTGCGGGCTCTTTCTCTGTTTTGTATAGTGGCTGTAAATAATTCAGAGTTATCATAGCAAACACTTAAACAAACATTTCTAGAATACAAACTATGCCTCTGTTTTTAGAATAGCGAGCTCTGATATTATACAGTTAATATTAATACCTGATTAAGTTTGTTTTTTATGGCAAAGCTACTAAGGTGATCTGCCACAGTCTCTAAGTTTTGAACTGCTGACCACAGAGAAGACAATCGGTTACACCCACCGTCATCTCTTGGGCTACTCTTTATAAAAAAAAACGAATAGTGGGATTGAACGTCACCTTATAACGCCCCAATAGCTGAAAGGAATATAATTTTTCAGACCCAGGTTTCGATCCTGTGACCCACAGATTGCAAATCGACTTCTCTAACCACTAGTCCATACCAGGTCACTTGAATAATGAACCATTTAAAGGATAAAATGCAATTGTCGTACTTCCAGATATTGATATCATAAAAGCAACAACTTCTGGCAAAACTTCCGTAAAATAAGAAACTTGTATATATATATATATATTGCAAATCGACTTCTCTAACCACTAGTCCATGCCAGGTCACTTGAATAATGGACCATTTAAAGGATAAAATGCAATTGTCGTACTTCCAGATATTGATATCATAAAAGCAACAACCTCTGGCAAAACTTCCGTAAAATAAGAAACTTGTATATATATATATATATATAAATTAATTATTTAATAAGTTTAATAATATTTGTTACGGTAGCGCCCACCGCCAATCTTGGACTACTCTTTACCAATAAGTAGTGAGATTTACTGCCACAATATAACGCCCTCTCGCCCAATGGCTGAAAGGGAGAGCATGTCTGCAACCAGATTTCAATCCTACGACTCACAGATTGCAAGTAGAGATTTAATTTGTTTTAAATTTCGATTTTAGAAATATTCATATTAAAGAGCTTAATTTAAATTCAATTTTCTTAACTTTTCCAATAAAAAGTAATCATCTGTTGGTAGTAAAAATACTTTATTTAACGATAAAGTTAATTTGTTAGCAGATAAATTAATCTTTAATGGCTATGAAACTTGATAAAGTATTGGTTTTTTAACTTTTTTTGTAACAAATATTACAACCTATGAAATAGTAAATCCTTTAAAGATGCTATGGTTACTTTTACTCCTAATTAATATGCGATCCTTAAGAGGGCGCTAATATATCAAGGTCACCGAGATATTGTAACCACTAGTTTTAAATCTAATTCTATTATTTGGTTTCTGATTCATTCAATATACCGAACCTCAAGGGAGAATGACAGATTCTCAATTACTACTGAACTAGCTATAAAATAGGGTTTATAGTTCTTGTTATCTTGTAATAACAGTCTATGGGTGGAGGCTGGATGTTTGAGTAATGTACAAATTAAGGGTGGTTTTTGCTAACAAGAAATTTCTTCTATGATGTTTAGGTTAACATTTTTCTTTTGTGAGGGGGGCGTAATTACCATATCAGCAATAGGTGAGAGGTAGTACGTTTCAAACCATTATGGATTATAGCACCAAATCCCTAGTTCATATTTCTTTTCCTTGCCAGCGGTCTTGTTTTTCATCTGTAATTTTTGGATTATGTCTAACAATCGGGATATCCCCAATGTTTTTGGGAACTAGTGCAGCAAACATTATTTTTAGAAATTATACCTTTTGTACTTTCTTGCTATAATCGTTAATTTTCTTGTCTTATGCATGTGTGTCTCTGGCGGGATAGGTGATCTAGTTTATTCTGTTTGAATTTTTTTTGGCTAAATATTAAAAAATTTTAAATTTACTATGAGTGGCAATTTTATTTTTTGAATTTCACTTTTGAGAATTTGTTTTTGCTTTATGAATGGGTTTACAGATGCGCTTATACATAAAACTCACACCGAAGCATCTTCCACACCTAAAGCCATATGAATTTCTACTGGGCAACAGTTTGTATTATCAATCTGTGAGAGCTGAAACAGTTATAAAATATTTCCTTATTGGTCATGGTATTATATACCAAAGGTTAACGTTTGGATTGAGTGGTCAGTTTATTGAGGACTTTATCTAGTATCAGCTTTGACCATCTCTCAATAAAATCGGAGTGGCATATACTCCAAAAAAGGTTTCAGAAGGTGTCTTATTCTATTGTAGTATTCATTGAGTAATAAGGTCTGGAACTGGTATACAGATGACAGCAGAAGATTAAGGCAGCGAATACAACATTGAAGTTCAGACGTTTAGTCGAACTGAGGTTCAGTAATAAAGTCGATTATTGAATTCACTTGTGCTACTCGAACCAATCTCGGATAATACGAACAGAGTGGATTATTGCATTACTGTCTTGTAGAAAACCTTCGTCAAAGTAGATGTGGAGCATTTTGGGGTGGACGTGTTCAGAAATAACGTTCAGATACACTCTGTATGTTATTCTTCCTCCTAAAAGAAATCTGAGAACGCAATCTTTGCCACGACAGTTCCCCATCTCCGCATAGTTACACCACTTTTATTACCTTTCACGTTGGAACCACATAAACAGGGTGAAACTCCTTATGTTTAATGTCAGTACGAATAGAGATGAAACGTGGTTCGCCAGGCTACATCAAATGTTTCCATTAATCCATTATCTTCCGTTTGTTTAGTAAATGTTACCGAAGCCTTATTTTCTTGTGCTTTTTTTAGGTAAAGCTTTTTTTTTTGGTTGTCGACTGCTATATGGCAATTTTAAAGGCCATTAACACTGTATGCTTGAAATCGTCGCTTTTGTTGAAGGAATAAATGAATCGAGATATGTCTGATAGCTGTAACATCTTACGATCATTTTTTCCCCTTTTTAAGTCACTAGCAAATGATGACTACAGTGTTTTGTTTTTAAATAATATATGTATTCCCATTTCGATTGCCAGTGTTGCTAATTCTATGAAGTTTTCAATAGTTGTTCAAAGATACGGTAATAGGAAACGACGCTCCTACCATTTTCCTACTTATTGCCATGCGTTTGCTTTTATTCACTGTTTTTCAAAATAGCTATTATATGGCTACATATCCACATTTATACGGCTCAATCACTATCCTGAATATCACATGATCAGTAGTAAATAAACGTGTGTGTTTAATTTGTGTATTTATGTAAGCGTATATGTAGTTAACGGGAAAAGCATATGTTAGTAGAATATCAAAGCAATATACTATATTTTCTGATTGCAGAATATTCTAATGTATTCGTACTTACATTGTGCCAAGTTAACTTGCTATAAAACTATAGATCATGACGATTTTATTTGTCGTACACTTAGGTCTGATACAATTAGCTCTTATCAAGAATACATATTATTTATTCAAACTTGTTTTGGCTCATCGTAACATTGATTTAAAGTTAATCTTAAGCCTCACGAAAGGTATTCGAAAGAGCAAAATAAAAAACAAGATCGAAATATTTTTTGGATAAAGTATGCTTTTGAAATTATTACCCAAAAATATTTCAGATTATTCAGAAAAATTACTTTAAAGTGTATGATATCCTCGATGAGCTTTAGAGTAATTAATTATTGTAACAATTCACTCCAAGGTCACAGGAAGTGACCTTTGTACGTAATATTCTAGACCGGAAAATTCTAACAAAACCCTAATTACATTATTTACCAGTTCGATTTCAAATTACTTCTCAAAGCAGTTAGTTTATAGCCTTATTTGAAAAGTTATTTATTACTGATGCCATAAACCTGATTTCGAGAGTAACCAAAAGTTAAATTTCAAAATGTTTTATAAATTACACGTCATTTCTAGAGCATTGATGCATTTTTACACCACTTGCTGTCAGAAGTAAAATACTATAATTAATTTCCTTACCCTCACTATTCAGAAGTTCAAAAGAACGACAGATTTTACAATAAGAAGTTCCAGTTACAGGATATTATAAAAACATAAATGAGCCTATGTTGTTTTGAATTAAAATTGTATTGAATAGTAGTTTTGTACAAGGTTATGCAATTCCATCAATCTGTATACATCTACGTTATAGGTTTGTAGTAAAGAAACTTGAATAAAAGTACCTTAAACACATTGTTAAAGAACCTTCTGTTCACAGCAGTTTTGCAGGAACTTTTAGTTCTACTCGATCAGCTGAAATGTGCAACTTGACATTCTTTCTATTGGTTGCTTAATATTTCAACGTACTTCAATACACCGCTTAAACGTAGTGTATTAAAGATAAAACAAATAATATGTATTGAAAAGATACACCGAATGCATTCTGATTATCTTATACTCTTGACAATATTCTTACGAAAAGCTGCCAGAGTGGTTTTTTTCCACTATATTTCTGTAGTGGTTTCACGTTCACGTTTAGATGATGTCTGTCATTTTCTTTTACGCCCCTCGATTTAGGTAAATGTGTCAAAGCGTAAATACGTAAAGTTAAGAAACAACCAGTTAAGAGTTGACGTTGAAAATGTCATGCCTTCTAAAGAGAGAAACGTTTCAAACAACATTAAATATTTGCACTGGAAAAAAACAAAAAAATTAACAGTTTTTCAGACTTACTTCCATCCGTATCGACACACACGGAACCAAGACAACACTGGTCACTATGGAAACATCGTTTTCCGAAACACTGGTTTTCATTAGAAAGCAGAGGATCGTGCTCAGTGCCTACCTTCTTGAGTTCGCCATCCTGAAATGAAACAGGTAAGATCCATTGTGTCAATGTATGTTTAATTCTACTAACGGGGTTAGAGTGGGGGGGGGGAGGTTTCCACTGTACCGTACAATGCCATTTACTGATGCTATTATGTAGTTTTTCAACATTAGTAGCTTACTTGTAACACGAATTGAAATAAGAAATATCCCTTCATAACGCCACCTAGGTGAGATATTTAAATTCTAACCAACTGTTCTAATAAACGCTGCTTATGATTGCGAGAAAGATATTCTGATAATATATCCATTGACTCATTATTTATATGTTAGGTTTCGGAACTCAAGATGTACGAAATCAATACTGAGTAAACTTACTTGTCCGTGTCAACCAATTTTATACTTCTTGGATGTTTCTGCAAATACGTTTTGCCTTAACCCCTTAGTATTGTTAGTATATTTCCAATATTATGCATTCTATCAACTCCACTCGTTATAGATGTAGACTAATTTTAGTTGTGATTCTTTGTCTTCACATGTTTATTGCTGAGCTGCTGATGTAACTATAAACGCTGGGAAACTAAGCAATAGATCTATCTTCACATGACTATTTCTGAGCTGCTAATATAACTATAAACGCTGGGAAACTAAGTAACAGATCCGTCTTAACATGATTATTGCTGAGTTATTGATGTGACTATAACCACTGGAAACTAAGCAATAGATCTGTTTTCACATGATTATTGCTGAGTTGTTGATTTAATTATAAACGCTGGAAAACTAATCAATAGATATGTCTTCACATGATTATTGCTGAGTTATTGATGTAACTATAACCACTGGAAACTAAGCAATATATCTGTTTTCATATGATTATTGCTGAGTTGTTGATGTAACTATAACCATTGGAAACTAAGCAACAGATCTGTCTTCACATGATTATTGCTGAGTTGTTGATTTAATTATAAACGCTGGAAAACTAATCAATAGATATGTCTTCACATGATTATTGCTGGGCTGCTAATGTAACTATAAACGCTGGGAAACTAAGCAACAGATCTGTCTTCACATGATTATTGCTGAGTTATTGATGTGACTATAACCACTGGTAACTAAGCAATAGATATGTTTTCACATGATTATTGCTGAGTTGTTGATTTAATTATAAACGCTGGAAAACTAATCAATAGATATGTCTTCACATGATTATTGCTGGGCTGCTGATGTAACTATAAACGCTGGGAAACTAAGCAACAGATCTGTCTTCACATGATTATTGCTGAGCTGCTGATGTAACTATAAACGCTGGTAAACTAAGCAACAGATCTGTCTTCACATGATTATTGCTGAGTTATTGATGTAACTATAACCACTGGAAACTAAGCAATATATCTGTTTTCACATGATTATTGCTGAGTTGTTGATGTAACTATAACCATTGGAAACTAAGCAATAGATCTGTCTTCACATGATTATTGCTGAGTTGTTGATGTAACTATAAACGCTGGTAAACTAATCAATAGATCTGTCTTCACATGGTTATTTGTGCAAGATAAAATAAGCAAGTTTAGTATTACTTTGCCCAAGTGTTTTGTGGGTAAATCATAAAAATACACTTCTTATCTTAATATGTTATACATCTATAGGGCAAAGAAAATAACGATGTAGCCAGAGGTGAAAAATCATTTATCTTGTCAGACGTAGACGCCACTGGCACTTATGGTAGTGGTTTCACTTCAAATCTTGATTTTGATTTATTCATCGTGTTAAAAGGATTTTCTTGAAAATATCTCATGCCTGCCCAAGGGAAGATCAGAATAATATATGTGGCGCTATTAGTGTAATTTCACACTATTAAGTGATTTGGTGACATGAACAGAAAATCCAGTAAACTCAAACACAAAAGAAAAGAAAAATGAAACAAAATGTTCAGAAATTGTAGATTTTAGTGTGAATAATTTAAGCACATCATTGAACTAATAATCATTTTCGTGACAAAACAAATTAAAATAAAATTCTTATTAAGGGGTGTTTTAATATTGGTTTTTCTTTGCTGAGAGTAGTGAACAATAGTTAATGTTATATTTTATATTATAAATCCAACTCGTTATTTTCTGGTTGGGTCACTGAATTGCCGTTCTAACTGTAGCTATAAATTTCATAAAAAAAAGGCAAATGCATAATATGTTTTTATGAGGTAAAAACCTCATTTTTATATACACAACCATAAGATGTGTTCCACAAACATAACAAAGAAATGTCGATAAATTTATTTGTAAATCTCCTACCAGTTGATTTCTTGAAGTCGTATAAAGCATATATGACTATTTGAAACAGTGTGTAGGGCTGTTATAATAAGCTCGTATCGGTTATTTGGAACAATGTGTAAGGCACCTATGATTTGTGTGCATGCAAAAAATATTTTGGGTCGCGCATTCTAGGTGTGTATATGAAATCTAGACTGGTATAACCATGATCATGATCGCCCATGTATGTTACATGTTCGACCAAAAAACTGTTTCAAATACCCATAGTACTTTTATAACAACTCTGTACAGTTATACCGGTGTTCTTTCACACTTAATAAAATCATCAGTACAGGACTAACCATAAACATTCCCTTTGTGTTAGTAATCTGAGCTTTCTCTTGATCAGAAACACAACGAAGAGAGAATTATAAACATCAGTTACTTGTACAGTTGCGAACTTAAGATATTTGCTCGTGTGGACTACATAATAAAATGGGAAAGTTGATTACATATCTTATCGTGGAATTAGGTTTTATTTAAGGAATAGCCTACGCAAAAAAGAAAGTGGTTCTGTACGTCACAGTAGATATATCCAATAATAATTAATGGATATGAATTTATCTCCTGCACAAAACAATCTGATTACACAACGCTCTGCTTTCGCTTTTCTCTCGCATGAACGTAAGCTTTGAGTAGTCATAGTTAAGCTATTTGCTGCGCTTGTGTAATTTGTGAAAATTTGAACGTACAGGATCACCAAAGAAGAATATCAGCGAAAACAAAAAATAAAAAGATAGCCTATGACGCTGAATAAATCGAATTTTGAAATTGGACGAGTTACTCACGAATAGATAGTTTCTATTTGAAAAATTGAATATTTTGTTTATAGGTGAAACAAGAAATATTAAGTCAGACGCTTCAGCTCAGATGATTAGAAGGTTATCACTGAAAGTCAGACGCTTCAGCTCAGATGATTAGAAGGTTATCACTGAAAGTCAGACGCTTCAGCTCAGATTATTAGAAGGTTATCACTGAACTATTAAGTCAGACGCTTCAGCCCAGATGATTAGAAGGTTATCACTGAAATATTAAGTCAGACGCTTCAGCCCAGATGATTAGAAGGTTATCACTGAATATACCTTTTATCCAATTTCTTTGTCTCTTTCACTAATTCTTGATGAATATCCTTATCTATATAAGACGTACTCACACAGCTTAAGTAAGCAATGAAAATTCAAAAAGTGCCTGATGTGGCTTAATGGTTAGCGTGCAGGGATTGTACGTTTCGAGGATTTATGGTTTGTGGCCCGTTTGGATATTGTCTGATAGATGGAATATCCCAACGCATTTGAGTGCTATTAGCACAGACATTATCCGTTATGACAATAAGTGGACAACCAGGACCGATAACGGTATTGCGATATATACACACACACACATATAGGCTCCCGAAGGACTAAAACTCGTTTTTACATTTTGTTTTGTCATTTCTACTTATGATGACTTTCAGAACTTCAAAGCATCATCGGTCGTAAATATTAGATTGGCTGTGGACTCATATCGTTTAAAGCTTATTACTTGATTTTTTTTCAGTAACATCCATTACAGTACTTGTTTTTACTTCATATAACAATCTTAGTAATAAAAGTATACATTGTGAGCTATCTTTAGCGTTTATTTACCTTCTCTAAATCTCTCAGCAGAAGTAGAAGATTTGGTAAATTAATGGCCACCGTTCTCGAAATCAACAAGTTGGCTATATAAAACAGTTATGTGACCCGCGTCTTATATAATGATGGATAAAAAGAGATTTCACACAATTTGGCTCACTCTCCTACATTTACAAAAACCCCGCTTTTCTACAAATACTAAGTATGAAACCGGCGGAAACACCTGGCGCCTAGCATAATCATAGAGTAAAAATCGAAACTACACTCTGTGTAACCATGTCTTGAGAGTCATGTTAAACATTCTACGATTTGCCGCAAAATTAAGGGCTACATGTAAAAAAGTTACAAGGTAGGTATCTTTTGATTAAATGTTCATGTTTTCTCAATGTTTGAAAGGATTATCTATAAATATTCGCATTTTATATACAATGTGCCGTATGTTGCCGATCAAACAAATCCTCCTGTGTAACATTTACACATTCCACGTTGTTACAAATATACATATACACACACATATATATATATTAGGTTCGCTAGGTTACATATACATATATTATGTTCGCTATCTTAGATATATTAAAATTAGTCAGCTTGAAACGAACACTGATAGTAAAACAAAACTTGAATGCACATGTGCAACGACAACATGCTAAACCGTTTCGAAACGGCCATTCATCAGGCCCTAAGAATATTGTTTCAAATGATGCGTTCCTGCTGTAACAAGCTCTCTGATCGTATGATAAGTACGTACCACATTTATACTTTGTTATTTAACCCTCAAATTACCCGCTTATTGTTAAACGTTTACTATTGGTTGGATCCACGGTTTGAGCTATTTTATGTTTTCATTAATCGCAACATGAGCATAGAACATGAGTGATTTTACATAGTGGAATTAATTACATTTTGTTTAACTTTTTTGTAGAGCTCATATACCATTAGGAACCTTGTAAACAACAAAGTCATGGATCTTCAGGCAATTTGGTGAATAAATTTAAAAAATGTGTTTAAAAATAGCTAATGAGGTCCATTCACTTTATCGGTAATACTAAGTTTTAGGAAGTCGTGTATTTAAAGTGCTTCGTAGTATCAACAGAAAATAGAAAAACGCGAATTTA